ACTTCGGCGACCACCTGGTAGATGTTGGGTCTGTGTTGTGGGTTCTCTCGCAGCATCGAGCCTGTTGCTAATCAGTATTCGTCCATGGCCTAGTCTTGCTGCGCATACCTATGAGCTTCTTTATCCTGTCTGAGAACTGAGGGTACGCTGGGTACTTGAACGTGGCGTTCAGAATAGCCATCTGTCCGACCTCTTCGAAGGGTGTAGTATAGTAGCATAGCTTGTACAATAGTACACCCAGCGCCCAGATGTCGCTCTTCTCGTCTATTGGCTGTTTGCGGTATACGTCGATCATTTCCGGACTGCGATACTGTAGTGTAGTGTGCCGTTGCACATCGTCCTCGATCAGTCTCCCTTCAGCGGCAGTTGTAGCGGCGGGTCTCGGGGGTGCGGTGGATCCGAAATCGCAGAGTTTGTATATTTTGTTGCCTCCCACGGTGGTAATCAGGACGTTTTCGACCTTGAGATCGCGATGGAGGAGCGGCGGCTTGAGGTAGTGCATGGTAGCAACGCCCTCGACGACGTCTGAGAAGATGTGCAGAATTTCAGGCTCCGTCAATCTATGCTGGAGCCTGGTGTTCATGAAGTCGATCAAGCCGCCTCCTGAGCAAAACTCCATGAGCAGGAATACTTCATAGCCTCCTGTCTTCAGCTGTGAAGCATGCGAGTCCATGTAGGTGACGATCTTGCTGTGGCCTTTGAGCTTCTTCATGGTCTCGACCTCGGTCCTCATGTTCGCCAGTGCATCTTTGTCCGCACAAGCTACCCTCTTCAAGACGGCAGTCTCGGGGGTTCCATTATCGGACTTGGGCACGCGGACGAGGTAGACGTGCGCGAAACCACCCTCGGAGAGATACTTCTCGATGGTGACACGGTGGTTGCCGACCTGGACCTTGGTGCCGGGCGCAAAGGTGCCCGGGGGAGCATTGGAGACGGCGATGGGCGCGGGAGCGCGGTATGCGGCCTGCTGGGCCATGGGATGGGCGGCCGAGGGCGCATAGCGAGCGGTGGACATGTTGGGCGGTGAGGGAGCCTGCTGCGGTGCAGGACAACGACGAGGCTATATTTTGCGCATCGAAAAGGAGACAGACAGGGCGGGGGTGGCTCTCGGACGCGAGATGGGGGGACGGGTGGTGAGGTGGAGTGAAGGTGGCATGCCTGGCGATGCTTGTGATCGTACCGTAGGAAACGGACCCTTGCATCCACGAGCGCATGGACGAAGCCACACCAACGTCACAATGTATCTTTAGACCGCGACGCCTCGGGCATGCACGCCGGGCGCGGACATGTCTATTTACTCTCTCTGCTCCTCAGACGACTATTTCAGTATCACGGACTCGAGGAAGCTGTAGTCCGGGCATGTAGCGCCAAGCTGGGGCACTTTATTCGGTAGAGTACGTGGTTTCTCTCCCGACGTGTTCATTGGGCACAGCTTGATGTTCGCAGCCAGGTCAACCTACCACCAAGACGTTTCGTGCAACATTACGACTTGTGAACGCATGCGAGCTGGTTGGTTGCTTTGGTCAATACATTATTCCACGGACTGGCTTAGTGTAACATGCTCCAGAAGGTAGCAGATGTTGACTACGCTGCGTAGTTCGATATGAGTGTACAGCACGAGGTACAGCAAAGGTAGACTATCAGATATGCAAGCCCCATGATTCCTTCTTCGACGACCTCACAGATCGAATAGTCAATAGAGAGGGCGATGTGAAAAGCCCAAGACAACGGCCCTGTCGATCTCTAGATCTCCAGATGGGTGTACCATGGATGCAACAACTCGAACAAGTACCGAGAGATCTAGATGCACATACAGACGCAGACGCAGACGGAGACGGCAGGTTCCTGACTGACGCGGCCCATGTCATTGCGAAGTTGCTTTTGTTGTAAACCCCGGATGAGGGGTCCTTGTGTTCAAACACGCAAGTGAGCAGACAGAGTCAAGACGGTCAGTGACGGTGAAGGAGCACCAACTCGATCATGGCAGGCATAGGCGCGGGGTCGCGGCTTCCACAACAGTCTGCCGTACAACCTGCAGTCATGGCAACATTGGACTTACTGCACACGACGCGACTTGGACGCGGCTGTGTCATATGACGATGGCGGGGGAAGAAGACTTAGGCGTGCACGATGCTAGAGCACATGAGGCCGTGGTAGTGTGCAGGTCGGGGGTGAGGGCGGCCGTGATGCCGACAGCAAACATGGCAAAGCGTTGACCCTGCAGTGTAAGCGCGGTGGAGGAGGAACAGAGGGATCGTCGTGTGGGAGAGCACTGAGGCAGACGAGGACGTCGTGTTTGGACGGGCGGCGAGCTGAGTTGCAGGGAAGGACCTTGGCGGGATGCGACGATGGGCAGCGACCCACCCATGACTGCCCAGACGACTTGACCCTTCCCTCTCTACCTCCGCACTGTCGTGTCGTGTGTTGTCGCCTCGCCTGTGCCTATTTAGGAGCGTCAAGACCGTCGCCTCCTCCGCTCTTGTTGTTGTATTTGTAGAGTAAGCGGGCTGCCCCATACACCCGCCAGCCGCCGCGTATACCAGCACACCGATTGTGCCCTTTAGACGCTGTTCCACGCCCACCGCAATCACGCCTGCCCATCTCTATAAACCGAACCCCCCGCGACTCCTGACACGCCCGGTACCATGGCCGAAAACCCACGACTCGCCCGCGTCCGACAAGGCACCACGGCGCGCTCACGACGACCCCAGAGAGACGCCAGCACCTCGCGCTCCGACTCTTCCGCCTCGACCTCGCCCGAGCGCGGCTACGACGATGAAGACAAGGACTCTATCATGCTGCAGTCCAACGACTCGCTCTCGTCGCTCGCGCCGTCAGTATCGCCCGACTCGGACGAGGAGGCTCGCCGGCGGGCCATCGAAGAGCAGAACCGCATCTCGCCCGTCTCCCGCCTACCCGCCGAGCTCATGATCGCCGTCTTCGCAAAGCTCTCCTCGCCCGCCGACCTCAAGAACTGCATGCTCGTGTCTAAGACATGGGCTGGAAACAGCGTCGGCCTGCTCTGGCACCGCCCCTCAACGAACAAATGGTCAAACGTCAAGAGCGTCATAAAGACGGTCCAGACGGTCAACAGCTTCTTCGACTACAGCAGTCTGATCAAGCGTCTAAATCTGTCCGCTCTGGGCGGTGAAGTCAGCGACGGGACGCTGAAACCGCTTTCAAGTTGCAAGCGTGTTGAGCGCTTAACGCTGACCAACTGCTCACGACTGTCCGACTTTAGTCTGGAGGCCATGCTCGAGGAAAACCGCTACATTCTCGCCCTGGATGTCACCAACGTCGAGTCCATCACCGACAAGTCAATGCTCGCTCTGGCCAAACACGCAGTCCGCCTGCAGGGCCTCAACATCACAAACTGCAAGAAGATCACGGACGATTCGCTCGAGGAAGTTGCCAAGAACTGCAGACATCTGAAGCGCCTCAAGCTGAATGGCTGCTCGCAACTCAGCGACCGGAGCATCATCGCCTTTGCCAGGAACTGCCGCTACATCCTCGAAATAGATCTTCACGACTGCAAGAACCTCGACGATGCCTCCATCACTACGCTCATCACAGAAGGCCCCAACCTCCGCGAGCTACGATTAGCCCATTGCGTCAAGATCACCGACCAGGCCTTCCTCCGTCTTCCAGCCGAGGCTACCTACGACTGCCTGCGTATCCTAGATCTTACTGGTTGCGAAGAGCTACAAGATTCTGGCGTCCAGAAGATAGTCCACGCAGCTCCGCGACTGCGCAACCTGGTCCTCGCCAAATGCCGCAACATTACCGACAGAGCCGTCATGGCCATCACTCGTCTGGGCAAGAACCTTCACTACATACATCTGGGACATTGCGCCAACATCACAGATGTCGGTGTCGCGCAGCTGGTCAAGCTATGCAACCGCATCCGGTACATTGATCTCGCATGTTGCATTGCTCTCACCGACGCCTCGGTCATGCAACTCGCTGCTCTACCGAAGCTGAAGCGCATTGGCCTGGTCAAGTGTGCCGCCATAACGGACCGCAGCATACTCGCACTCGCCAAACCAAAGCAGATTGGCTCCAGCGGGCCCATCGCACCCAGCGTGCTCGAGAGAGTGCACCTCAGCTACTGCACCAACCTCTCCCTAGCCGTAAGTGCCCCACCCAAGACAAATCCCGTGCCGTTACTGACATGAACAGGGCATCCATGCGCTCCTCAACAACTGCCCCCGCCTGACCCACCTCTCTCTCACTGGCGTCCAAGCGTTCCTTCGCGACGATCTTCTCGCCTTTTGCCGCGAGGCACCACCCGAATTCAACGATCACCAGCGTGAAGTGTTCTGCGTCTTCAGCGGCGTTGGCGTACAACGTCTGCGCGTCTTCATGAACACCAACGGTGGAGACGACGTTGACAACGAGGACAACGCTTTCGACCTCAACGACGGCACCATGTACCACGAGGAAGAGGATGGTGACAACATGGTTGTCGTCACCGCACAAGCGAACATAATGGCCATTGACGAAGAAGACGACTTCGGCAACGACAGTGAGATGGCAGGGCAAGATTAGGAAATTCGCGCATCGCGCGAGCATCGAAGGCGGTCAACTGGACAACCGTCGAACGTTTTCCTGATTCTTTAGTGTCTGCATCGCACATTTTATCTGTTCGCAGTCGCTTTTTCAGCATTTATAGAGGTGTTTGGACGTGTCAGTCTTTTTGGCATCATTAGCGGCGCTATAGGATATCATCGTTTCTGTAAGGGTACAGAAACGAACAGTTGGTCTTGACAGGCCGCACCTCGGTGGCGATTATACCCTTTTTGCGTTTCTTTAGCTTTTTCTTGGTACAATAGCGCGTATAGGGAAGACTTTGAGATCTCCAGACCGGGAGCATCACGGACAGACGGCCGCACAGTTTCTTAAAACTATATCTGTTTACTCCCCACTACTTTCGTGCACTCCGTATCCTGAACTATGCTACATGGAAATCCTAAACGAAACTTCGTACTGTTGACTCTCCCTCACTTCATCAACCCACACATGCACCCACAGTCCGGCACAGGACACATGGCATGCCTAGCAAACCAATCCCTCGCATGATGACCATGAAAACCATGCGTACAGTTCATACAAAACACCATCATCCTGCCCTCCTTGTCCTCTCCCTTGAGCGTCTCGTACGCCCCCTGTTTACTCGGATCAGGCGAGCCCAACCACAACATACACAGCGCACACCTCGGCATCTGCGCCGCACAGTTCGGACAATGGAGTCCAGGTGTGCTAGCGGCGGATTTCTGTTGCAGCGGTGCAGCAGGTTTCCCAGCACCGCCACCAAACGACAACGAAGCCGTGGCACGATGCGTCGTCGTCGCTGTCGACGGCGCGTTGTTCATGCCACCCGCCTGATGTGCAGTAGGAAGCAATCTCTTCGTACTACTCCTCGGATCCTTCCTCAACGCGAGATTCTGCTGGCAGTTCAGACAGCGCAGCGTCAAGCTCGGTTGACTGGGTTTATTCACACTCCTGCCCTCGCGCGTTACACTGAGTAGGTTATGTTCCTTGACGTAGCGCGTGCGTTCGAGGAAGGTGCGCCAGATCTGCTGTTGCTCGAGGTACATGTCTTTCCAGAGGGTCCAGCGCGGGTCTTGGATGTAGAGGGGGCAGGCGCGGGAGAGGATTAGGACGGCGTTTTGCAGGCCGGTTGTGGGGTGGTGAGAGATGTGTGTTTGGAGGAGGGAGAGGGAGCGCGTAGTTAGGCCTGTGAGGAGGAGGGCGGAGATGTCGCCTTGGGCTGTTGCGGTCGTTGTGGTGGTAGTGAGGAAGGTGGTCAGGGAGGGGTCTGGTAGGTATTTCAGGGCGACGGCTACGCGGTCTGAGAGGGTGAGTTGCGGCATCGAGACTACGCTTGACCAGTCGCCTGTGATGAAGTAGGTGAGGAGTGATTTTAGGTAGGCGTCGCTGGTCATGTCGGCCATCCAGGCACAGGCTTCTCTTTGCTCGGCTGAGACGCCGGAGGAGGGCGAGGCGCAGGCTATGACGGCTGCGAGACCAATGTCGTCTTGTGGGAGTCTCTTGCTTGTAAGACTTGCTCGGAGAAGGGCTAGTGCGATGTCCTTGTGCCCCTGGAAGACGGCGAGAACGATCGCTTTGTATATCTCGCCTTCATCTATAAGCCGTTGACAGTTCTGCTCTACGCCGGCTTTATCGAGGGGCCAGCCGCAGAGACTGAGACACAATTGCCTGTTCTCTGGATATTCTGTGTTCACGCCTTCGAAAATAGGGAATTCCATGGCCTCGACTATCTCTTTGACTGCATCGCTGAACATCTCTTGGCTTGTCTTTGTATCCGGATCGATGAGTCGCTCGTCGTACATTGTCAGCTCGTTTGCCCATATCGAGCTGACTCCCAGGTATTTGAGATCGAGACCGTTGCCCACCATGCCATCTCCTGCGGCATGTGCATCCATGCGATCGATCAGTGTCCACACATCGACCAGCCAGGGATCGTTGTGGACTATAGCCTTGTTCTTAGCACAATCGAGCGAGTAGCCTTCCTGGACACGTCGTTTGGGTGCTTGGAGGACGGCTAAATAATCAGAGAGGGGAATTTTGAACTCAGGGAACGCAAGATCGAGGAGGTCCTCATGCATGTGATGGCTGGGGTGTTCTGTCGACAAAAGAGGTAGGCTTCGTTGGCTGTTGCTGAGGCTCAGTCTATCGATACTGGCGGAGAGATTGAGTTTGTGATCATGTTCGATATCGTACTTGTCGCCTAGTGCTCTGTTTTGTACCTGGATTAAATCCTCTGCTACCGTACCAAATGGCGAAGTCGGCCTAGCGATGCAAGTGCGATCTTTGTATATCTCCTCCAGCGCGCTTACGTTGATCCGAGGAGGTATTGGTGGTACTCTGAGAACTTCGACTTCTCGATTTGAATGTAGAGCTAAAGCACATTGTCCACCGAGCGGATTTCCAGTAGTCATAAAGTCGTATGCCACGACGCGCTCTTTCTCATCGTGCCGATGCTGTTTGTCGTGTGAGGCATAGCGTAGATGATGTGTGGCTTTGGTGTAGTATGGAGACGCCCATGCTCGAGCGAAAGGTGTATCTGCTGTCTCGGAAGGTTGATGAGAGTGCTGTGCTAATTCGATGATTTTGAACTCCCCGCTATTCGCAAGTACTCCGAATGTTCCTCGCTTGGTGCCAGAGTACCGAAGACTCCATATAGAAGCCGACTGTGAATTGTCCACGACTGGCTTGAACTCCAGGACGGCGCCCCCACTCGCATTATCGTTGGACGCTACTCGTTGCTTGACGAAGCGTGTGTCCCAAACAGTCACAGTTGGGTCTCCTGCCGTCCCCGCTGATAGGAAGTAGTTTTCGTCCAATGGGTCTATGGAGATGTTGTGCACCTGGCGTGTTTGGAATTGCGCAATGCCCGCCGTGCTAGAGTCTATAAAGAATGAGCAGGGGATATTCACTTTTCCATGTGTGACCCACCTCTGAGATCGTAAATACGCACGTATTGCCTGGACACACCCGCGACGAGCATATCAGGCTGTCCATTAAAGAACTTGATGCTAGAGATGGCTTCTGAGCTCGCCAACTTCTTGTACGGTTCATCCTTGGCTGTGACTCGCGAGTCGTTCATATCGTAGATGTTGAGACAGACATCATTCCTGACTCTATCCAGCCCCGTGGCAAGTAGATTCTTAGCGCTGAAAGCGATAGAGTTGCATTTCCTTTGGTGTCGGATAGAAAACGAGTGGATGTAGTCGTGATCAGGCTTGTCCGGATCCAATGTAACGATGGTAGCCTCTCCAGAAGCAGAACCCACAGCAACTACACTCGGATCCTTCTTAGACCAGTCGAAGGCCGTGTAGTTTGGCAGCTTATCTCGGATGCATATCTGCTTATAGTTGACCTTGCTCTTACTAAACTCTTCGATTTGACACAGACGCAGCCTATTACCCGCGACATCGATGATCAAGAAGCGAGGATTGTCTCGTGTCGAGTGCGGCGACCATCTTATTGCAGCTTCCATCTCACTGGCTGACTATTGCGATGCGGCGACGATGGAAGTTCAAGGTCCGAAAGCGGAGTAAGGAAGCCTCATAAATCAGTGGGAAATAGTCTGAAGGATCCCGGAGCGAATGATGTCGTGTGCATATTGCAGTACACTCGACTTTGCTAAGTTACCGTGCAAGTGGAAGACATCGGGTGCATGCAGGTGGGTGAACGCCAGACGCGTGATCTCACTTGGCGCGCATCGGGCGGTCTAGCAACCTTAATTCTGCCGCCCCACTAAAACTTCCCTTCGTTCGATCCCAAGATTTCCGCAGCCAGCCAACAACTCTCAAATCCCAAATCTCAGCCAGCCACCATGTCGCAAAAGCGCAAGCATGCCGAAGCGACTGAGTCGTCGTCCTCTGCCCCCAAACCGTTCAAGAAGCACCGCGCCTTCAAACCTGGCCAGAGTCATCCCAAATCGAAGAAGCGGCCGCACGTCTCGAGCGACATCGACAAGAGCACCAGCACCAACGCGCTCAAAAGCCGGATACGAGACTTGAAGCGACTACTTGCGCACGTCGACAATGTAGGCGACCACAAGATGTCAGCGGGCAACAGGGTGGAGAGGGAGAGGGAGCTCGAAGCCTGTCAGCACGAGCTGCAAGAGAAGCTGGAGAGTAGCAGAGAGGCCGAATACAGGAAGAAGATGATTGGAAAGTATCATCACATAAGATTCTTCGGTATGTCATAGATTGCGCATGGCGCATGGGGTCCAACACGAAGCGATTGCTAACGCGCCTCAGATCGTCAAAAGGGCACACGGATACTGAAGAAGCTGAAGAAAGAACACGAGGCCGAGGAAGACGAGGCGAAGAAGCAAGATCTAGCGCGAAAGGTGCACAACGCTCAAGTCGATGTCAACTACGCCATATACTACCCGCTCATGAAGCCCTACGCCTCTCTATACCCAAAGTCGAAGAAAGACAAGGCCTCAGATTCCGACGAAGCAGCGGAGGAGGATACCGATGACAAAGCGAATCGCGAGGTCGACGGGCCAAAAGGCGACTTGAACATGTGGAAAGCTGTGGAGGAGGCTATGGCAGAAGGCATATTGGACGCGCTGAGGAATAGCAAGGAGGGCTTGCCCGCTGCTGTGCCCAAGAAGGAACCGAGAAAGAAGGCACAGCCGCAAGTGCAACAAGCAGTCAAGGTCAAAGAGAAGAAGGTGGAAGAGAAGTTAGCAGTAGCCAAGAACCGTCGCGAGAGGAGAGCGTTCGGCGTACAGGCCCAGGAAGAGGCGGAGGAGAGCGACGGTGGTTTCTTCGAGTAGTTTCACGGCACGGAAATACGTTCATCTGCATCATATACCCGGCGTCCGTTCGCCAATAAGATTGTTCTGCAGCAGAATTCGATTACTACAGATTACTTCTCTGCCTCTTCACAGACCGCGTTCTTTACAGCCCTCTCGTCGCATTCCCACCCCCATAGACCTTAACCGGATGCGCCTCAGTATTGTAAACCCACTCATTGACCCCATCTTTCCCAACCTGCCACTCCGCCTCACCAGCCTGAATCGCATAGCTGTACTTTAACACCTCTGCAAACCAAAAGCTCTCCTGGAAGTCCGTAAACTCGCCACCACCAACCACATTCACGTCCTTGATAGAACTATACCCACTGCCAACCCTTGTTGTCGCGTTAATCGCAACAAAAGCATCCCACGCCCAGTCCTGGTACTTTGAATCCGACGTCGCGCGGAAGGCGTAGTAGTAAGATTCTATGACCTCGGGACGGAGTTGGTAGCCCGCGTCTTCGATCCAGAAGCCTGTTCGGTTGAAGAAGGATGTTTGGTTCGCTGGTACGGCGGAGGTGTTCCAGGAGAAGACTTCAGGCCCGATGCGTGTCGCTGTTTGAATGTACGTCTCGTGGCAACCGTTGACGAGTTCGAGACCGAAATCGATGTAGTCTTGTCGGTCAAGGACTTGACCGCCTAGGATGAAGTTTCCGCCGTCGAAACAGGCGAGATGCTGGGATTCTAGGTCGAGCGTCGTGTTTTCAAAGGCTGCGAGGAAGGTTATGTCTGGTCGGGGGGCTGGGTGCGAGGCTAGATTCGCAATGGAACTGTCTACGGCTTTGATCCAGCGTTCTTTGAGGAAGCTGTAGCGTGGGTCGTAGATGTACATTTTGATCAGGTACTCGTAGAAGGAGTCGGCGCCGCCTACCCAGCCTCCGACTGCGTCGTTGAATTGCCCTGTCGTTACGTTGATTCCCATGCCCAGGAGCCCAGGGAATGGTTCGGCGAAGTCGGGAGATGGGAAGAGAAGGTATTGCTCTGCTTTCTCGGCCAGATCCGCATATGTTTGGTTGCCGGTGAGATCGGCGAGGCGGACCCATTCGAGGATCAATGTGCCGACAGTTGCGAGTCCGTTCTCTTGATCGACGTTGCTTCGGTTGTTGAAGGTAAGGATGTTCCAGGGTATTCCTGTGGGTGTCTCGAATGCGTAGGAGAGATTGTTGGCCAGATTGACGGATTGCGTGAGAAGGGCTTCTACATTTGCTGGATCGTCTGCGAGGTGCGCCAAAGGACCAGAGAGTAAGTCATAGCCGGACAGCATGCCGCCAAGGTAACGGATCGTGGTCTCGAATAGAGAGACGGGATCCTCAGTATACGCGAAGTTGATGCTGGGGATATATTCTATGATTTCGTTCACGATGTCTTTCTGGCCCATGATGAGTGCAGTGCTGAGCGCGTCTACGGCAGAGGCACCCCATCCGTTCCTGAGACCATGTTAGTAAGACTTCCTTGAAACATGGATATTGGGTACATACCTCGAATTACTCCCGTTGTTGCTCACAGGCCTCAGCTCATCCATCGGGAATGCATACTGGCGGTATCCCTCCCAGCTTATTCTGAAGGTGTCGATCACGGCTTGCGCTCTCTGATCAGGCGACACAGGATCGTATGATGGTGGGGTGGTCTCATACTGCCTCCTCGGGAGGTCTACTGGTGTGTTCGATGGTAGAGCCGACACCAGCGACAAAAAGCCACTTCCGAGCGTGAGAGACGTGAGATGCATTGCGTTCAAGCGTGTGATCTTCCACAGGCACTTGTGGTCCCCAAAGTCTCTTGTATAAATATGTTGAATGTCAGGGATACCGTTCGGGCCGGTTGCTACTCAGTTTAATGAGAGACCAACAAAGTTCAGGTATGGATATCTTCACTTTCTCCAATGAAGATGAACGTTGAAACAAATGACAGAAGGGTGTGCCTAAGTAATAGAAGCAGATCTGAGAGGTTAAGCACCTGTTCATAGTGGATAATGACCAAGACCCGTCTATTGGCAATTGCATCACGTTCCCTCTTTACTGCAAGTCGTGCAGCCAGATCCAGGACTTCGGGAATATCGGGACACCATTATAACGTCCCATGTAACGCTGAATAAGGAAGGTAGTAGCTCTATGCGGGCATAAACAGATACTGGCAGCAGGCATTGTGAGGCTGGGTACCCGCGATCCCCTCGTGCTAATGCGAACCGAACTTCTTGGGGCGCATGACGAGACAGGGTGACCGCTGTAGTGACAAAAGTGAGTGGCTGGCAAGGTTTATAGTATGCAGGCGCTGGTGCGTGCTATCATGTCGATCCCAGAATCTGTGTTAATCCCTGATCGTGCATCACCTGCTGCCGTCGTTGCGATATGTGACACAATGATGTTTTCTCGACACAAATCGTTCCTGGATGGGCAGAAGTCCCGCTTTGGAATGGTTGGTGCAGTGGAGAAACAGTTGTACAGAAGAGAGAAGCGACCCAACAGGTCGCGTTCCTGGCAATGGCGGGGGGATCTACCGGAAAGGCGGGCGCGGATGGCTTGAGGCGCTAATCCCGCATCTTATTTCCACCTCTGTCGGGTTATTGCGACAGGTGCAGAAGGCGACTGGTGCTTCTGCATTTCAAACATGAAGATTAGGCGTCCCCCGAAGCAATCCTGCGATCCAGTTCGAGGATACACTAACACTAAAGAACCCGCTCTACGCTCAGCACTTGATATATGTGCCAAAGGTGCGCGCACGAAAGTCTTGCGCTGGATCTAGTCCGTCGTGCATGTCATCATCGCTCGGGTATGTCATTTGCTCTATACTGCTCGCTACTTGAAGATTTTACTACCAAAAGTGTGCTTTGCGATCATGTCGGCTCGGCCCAGTCAACCTGCTCTGTCACTGGAGCACCACCTGCCGAGTAACTGATCTTGAGTCGGAGCTTTAGCCTTGCGGGTGGGGGCTAGGTCTGTTAGCACGGTATACATACAAAACGTATCTGAGAATGACTTACCCCATTGACAGCTGTGACCCTCATTTGCTGGGTCGCGTCTTGGCCTCCCTCCAGTTCGCTGGTACTGATAGGTTGCAGCTGCAGCTTTTGGCTCTTTGGTACAGCGGCTTGTAGATTCACACCTGACAGCTGGCCAAAGCTTCCAGTATTGCGGAAACGTGCGAGAAGTTGCACGGCGTTTGCATCACGCTTGAGCTGGAAGGTGATCTGTAGGTCGTTCTTGTTGTATGCAGGATGCGCGGGTGGGCCTGAGGCTACCGACGGTGTTGAAGCTTGTGGTGGTGGCGAGGACATGCCGCCGAGCCCGCCCAAAAGGTCCATGGAGTTACCTGCCGGCGGTGCCTGAGACTGCGCTGGGGCTGGAGAACTGCTGGCTCCAGAGTTGAAGAGGTCCATGATATTGGCCACGTTTGATTGTGGCGCCGGGGAGGATGTCTGAGGCGGTGACGAAGACCCGCCCATGATGTCTGCAAGCAAGTCCTGGCTCTGTTGAGTTCCATTGGCTGCCCCATTCATGCTAGTCGACGGGCCTGCATCGCCCATGAGGTCGAGTAGCAAGTCTTCTGTCGCTGCTTGCGCAGGCTTCTTCTTCGCAATCTTCGACTGTCGCTTCTTGGTCGCTTCGCCCAGAACTCGGGACTCTTCGCGGATTTCAGGCGGGGGCATCTTCTCAAGAACGCCCCTCCTAATCTGGTCGTGACCGAAC